GGCAATAAATACAAAAACCCGATTATTTAATAAAAACAGCTTTAATATAAAAAACACGGCAAAATCAATTTACTGGTATTATAACATAAAAATCAAATAATTTTAAAAATTAATTATTCTGATAAATAAAGAAGTTCTAACATTTTATTAGAAAGTATCAAGCGGTCCAATTCTTCCTTATCAGCATCAATTATTGTGTTTACAATCTCGCTTTGCAATAACAGATATTTTACTTTTTTCTATTTTTTGAGTGTCTCTGGTAAATTCAAAGTCTTCGTTTTGATATTTCAAAATTAGTTTTCTGACAGTTTCTATTGATGTATTGACACCAATTTAATGTAGAAACATTTCTTTAATCATTCTGGCAGTAGCATTTGGATTGTTTTTTTAATTGACAGCAACTTTTTTCTCTGCCAATTCTCAAGAAAAACAATTTTGTATTTAATGGTTTTGTCTGGTTTCATTATTTTTGTGTTTTTTCAGTTTATTAAATCTTTAAATCACAAAAATATTTAAATTTATTTATTTTGAAATATTTTTATTTATTATAGTTTTAATATTAAAATGGTCAAAACATATTTATTTTGTCGATCTATTTTTAATTTATTTATAAGTTAATTTTTTTCAAAAAGTCTTCTTGACAATAACCATTTTCCCAAACCCAGTCATCTTGACAATAATGACTGTAATTGGATATAAGGCGTTTTTACAATAAATTTTGAGTATTCAAGGTCTCAAAAAAATACTAAACACATTTAGTTTATAATGTACAATTTGTAATGTTAATATAGTATTATAATATATGATACAAAATATTATATAATTTAATTGTTGACTAAGAACTATTTAATTTAAAAAAAATGAAAATGCCAATTACAGCATTCAAAAAAATACGTATTGTGTTTCATTAATTTCTAACATGTTTTTACTTTGTTCATTAAATTAATTGTCCTGTATTTAAAATTTATAAAGATAATATTATTATTATAATACACATAACTCAAAATATACATATTTCCTTTAAGTATTTGATAATGTTGTAAATTATTGATTATTTTTTTAATACATTCAGTTTTGTAAATTAATGAAGTAACCTTCTATAAAAAACTTTTATTCACTTTTGAAAATGCAGTCATGTTGAAAAAACACAAGTAATTTATTTGTGATATTTGAACATAAAACTATTTCCAATAGTTTTTTATGATTAAAACGCGTTTTGAAAACAAATATATACTTATGATAAAAAATAATGTGTTTAAAAATTATTTAAACTTTGTGTGCTAATAAAAATGAAAGGTAGTTTTTGTGTATTGAAAAAACATCAAATATCACTGGATAACGTTTTCAATCCACAAAGGACGTTATAATTTACTTACATCATACTTTCAATAATATTCTTATTTTTTTAATGTACAAATATATAGTAATATTTAATTATAATAATAATATAATTCTAAAAATAATAAGAGTAATAATTAAAGTAACAGACCGAAACAAAAATCTAATTTATAGTAATTATTTTTAAACTAAAATAATGTTAAAAACTATTATAAAATATAAAAAATATAAAAAATGATCTAATAGAAATAATAATTATTAGTCTTCGCATTCAATTTTTATTTTCAAAAATTAGGTGAGAAAAAAAGCTAATTAAACGGGTAAAAATACATTCACTCATTTTATTGGTATTTTATATTAATTTTCGGGTTTGAAGCCTAATGTTCATAAAATATTAAACAGTGATGTTTACTTATTTTTAAATATTTACTATAGTTATTTTTAATTCATTTATATTATTTTATATTTAAAAATGAGTTTTATCATTATTTAACAAACCATAATGTTACTAATTTTTTATAATATATTACACAAATTAATTAAATATTATTTAAATATTATTATCTCAAGTATTATTTTATTAGTTTGATTTGTTTTATTTTAAAAAAATAAAAAAAACAATTGTTATTAATGAAAAAATATGGCATTTAAATCCTATTATTACCAATTTTATATTTTTATTTTTAAAAGTCAACAAAAGTTTAAGTAAATTGTCGGTGTTTTGTGTAGAAAAAGAACATTTTTGGGAATATACCC